GCCTTAAAATTTTAAGTTGATTGAACTGGAAAAATGAGTTAATACAATGAAGGAGATTAATTTAATCATCAGAGAAACTCAAAATAATAAGTTAATCTCAACTAAATAAATTATTATAAAGTTGATTTGACAAAAGAAAATATGTTGTGATAACAAAATCTTTGAAAATATTTTTTTTACAGTGTATGAATGTGTATTTTTTTGGTGACGGCACGTTATATGTGTTAGTTTGGGGCTATTTATTTCCTGATTTTCAGGATTTGTGTCATTAACCTCTGGAATGAGTGTTTTAAACATTACAGATGGGTTAAGTGGAATGACAAACTTTTAAAAAAGTTGAACATTTCTGAGTCAATCTGATGAAAAGACAATACAGAACATGGGACGAGCTTTAATTGGAGTGGTTTTCCAGCTCTGTCTGCTATTGGTAATTATAAATACTTTTGTCATTTATGATATTGTTCTGAATTACTCTCTGGATTAGTATGTTAAATAAACTGGAATTGTAAAGTTGAAGATTGCCGTCCATTATGGGGTAAAAACTCTTCTCTAAATTCAACTGAGGGTCTACATTTAAAATAGACGACTATGTGGGATCTTAATGATAAACGTAAATAAAAGAAATTATAGACTTGACGGCAAAGAGACAAAGTTACACATTGGCTGAGTCACTATCCAAATTATCCAGAGAGAGCTCCCTCATTTTTTTATGAAAGGCCGGTGGGCGAACAAAGGAGGAGTGAATATAACTTCTTCAAAAGTTTTTATTCTTCAAACCATTGAATGGATGTTTAACATTAGATGTCCTAAGAAAACTACAATTTAGTTAATGAAGGTTAAATGAGAAAGCAGCTTTATGGCTGTCTTAGAGGTTGCGATGCGAGTAAGATAATATTTTCGTTTCTGTAAAACTGTAAAGATAAGTGGGACTGAGACGATACTGTTAATATTTTTAGACTTCTATTTTTCTAATATTCTTTAGACTAACCATTTGATAGACAAATATTGTGAAAAGCAGTTATAAGGAAAAATAAAGTTGAAATTAATGATAAGAAACCAAGGGTATTGAAGAATTAATAAAGTAATTTCCCTAACGAGAGAACTCTAAGTGTCACTAGGCTGACAGCGGTGAGAGACTTGTTGGAAGAGGGAAGGGAAAAACAAAAAGGTTGTTTTGTGAGATATGTTTGTGTGGATTGTAAGCAAACAATTATACTGGTTAGATGAGGAGTGTAGGTAAATAGGTAAAGATAGAAGAAATATAGGTTAACTTAAGTTTAAATGGTATGAAATATTTCAGAATAAAAATAAGGCATTGTATGATTAACGGGGTTTAAAGTGATATAAAGATAAGGAGTGGACAAAAGCTTTATTAAGCAGAATGGGGAAAATTCTGTATTTTAGTGGTAAAATAATAATTAAACTGATGATGTGGATTTGTTTTATTTTATTACTATTTTTGAAACAATAATAATAAAACAGGTGTAAGATTATATACAATTAAACTGATACATGCTATGTGACCGTAAACTGATTGATAATTTCAGTAAAGACTTAAAAGTGCTTGAATCGATTATCAGTAATCTTATTAATATTTTATTTTTTGTTGTTATATTTTTGTTAGACAACCATTGTGTTTTGAACCTAAAGGGTCTATAAAGGGGGTAGTGAAAATAATGGATTAACTATCCAACGTTGTTTATGATAAAAGGATTTGAAAATTATGGTTTTAAATAAATGAATAAAAAATAGTGCTTATATTCTGGTATTCATGATTATAGACAATGTCCTTATTTAGGATCTGAGTAGTGACTGCGGGTCTAGCCCATGCTAGGAATACAGCAACAGTGCTTGTTTATTTAGCCCGGCTTCCAGAGAATGTACTTGTTTCGTAATCAGTTATGTGTTTTATAAAAATGTTAATCTGACTGATAAATTGAGGAAGAATGACATTGATGTCCTGTTGTGAGTGGAAGGTGGGAGAGCCTCTTAATGGGGACTGGAATTTTTAGTATCCAGCATGTCCGTGACGAGGTGAAGAGACAAGTGTGACCCGTCAGGGGATCATGCGTCAACCACTCCCCCTTCCGTAGTGACCTCACTGGTTAGACCAGACGTGGCGGTATTGGACCCCACATTGGTCTAAAACGGGGGACTGAAGGGGTGGTCAAAATCCCTTGCCTCTTCAGTATATATTTCATATATAATTTGAATGATTATGTATTTCTTTTATAAAATCAATAATTAAGTATGTTTATTGTTACTTAATCATTTATTGACATAAATGTATTCTTTGTGCTTTTGCTTGTGAAATAATATTCTTAAATGCATGCTGATGTACATGCACAAGTCACCAGCTTCTTTTAGGTGCACAAGGCCATTTGTCTCTTTCTCTGGTCTCAGGAGAAAGGTTTATGGATCATAAAGGCGTCGTGAACACATATGTCCAACACATATGATACTTCTCTGTACAGATGGTCAAGCTATATTGAGCATTGCTTTATTGAACTTTAATTGTTATATTAAACTGTATTCTTTCTATTATATTTGCTTTCTGAGAAGCAAATGTTATCTGTTTTTCTCCCAAACGAGCGAATGTTTTACCATTATGTTTTGGTACACTTAACTGATAATAAGACGCTCAGACTCTCTTCAGCCTTGATGGGAGCTCCTATTTGCTAGTGTCCTATGTGAATGCAGTAACAGTGAAAATAATAGGGAAATAGGGATTTGGTTTATGTTTGAGTGTTAAAACATAAAGGGGTCATTGAAGCCAACAGTTTAAGGCACTATTTCTTTGTTAAAGTCTTACTCCAGTTAGACTAAAGTTTAGTGTTAGTCTTCTTAGTTGCAGGTTAAGGAACCACTGCCATTATTGGAGATTGAATGAGTTGTTGTTCTGGACACACTGGCGCCAGCAACCCAAATCTGTGACCTGGAAGGTCATGACGTGCCTCATCGATGGAGATATGTTTCGTCTATCTGTATATGTGTGGAAAATTACTGTGTTTATCTATATCGTAGCCAATGAGAATCATTCAACGTGTAAGCAATGACGTAGCTTAGACCTTGAAAATGGTATAACTGCTGTGATCTTTGTAACTGTAAGGCGGGCGGCCTACGAACTCCTGAGTGAGTCTTGAAGCTGACTTCTGCTGATGAAATGGCAAACTATGTTCAGTAAAACTTTCTTTAATTTTTATAATTCCGACTCCGGGTCTTCATTCTTCATATCTGGTTCTGGGTCCTTTAACTGTTAACCCCTAACAGCATATAGGCAAATGAAAGACCTGTTAAAGAATGTTGCAGAATGAACACACAATGGATCCTCTCTCACATAGTGATGAGGATTTCATAAACCTACACTCTAAAAAATGCTGGGTTGTTTTAACCCAATTTTGGGTCAAATATGGACAAACCCAAAATGTTGGGTTAAAAATGTAATGTAAAAATTTAACCCAACGGCTGGGTTAGTCCATATTTGACCCAAAGTTGGGTTAAAACAACCCAGCATTTTTTAGAGTGTAGAGTATTTTATCAGTGTGTTATCGGGGAATTGAACCCATGAACAGGTTCAATCAGTTGAGCTACACTAACTATGGCCAGCATTCACATGTCATACATGTTTAAAAGACTGTTAGAAGATAATTTAAGCACTTCAGCTTGTGAACTTGCCCTCTTGATCCTATCCAAATCCCCTCTCTGGCAGTTATCTTTCTTCTGATGTCAAATCATTACTGTATGTAGTGGTGCTACCATCTCACTTCATACTTAACATAATACAATATTAGATGTTACCAGGCTTTTTACAGTAAAATACTGTTCCCCCATATTACAGCAAAACACTAGCTATTTTACATTTACCCTGGAAATTACACCAAGGGTTAATTAACAGTGTAGTCAAGAAACCACATTATCACCAACACGAAAAACTATAAGCCAGACTCGCTTCTTTTCATGACTACTGCTGTGGAATGATAACATGATGATTTTTTTTTTTTGCATATGTGTTGTCAGAATGTCCACATCCCCCCTTGACACCTCAAACTAAACTTGACAAGAGGTATTATTCTTACTTCCAGCTAAAATCCACCTCACCAAATTTCTCACTATCGGCTGAAGGTCGCACAGATGTTGCCTACAGGAGTGTCGAAACACTTGGTGTCATCCTTGATGAAGTCACATTTTGTGAAAATCTATCCCTGCTTATGCTCCAAAGGGAAAATAATACTTGCAGTATCCTTGACTAACTGTCCTGGCTCAAAAAAATAACTGCATATAAAGTTCTCACATGGTGAATGTTACATCAATGTTAATTCTCTGTCATTGTAATCAATTTATAATTTGTTGTATTTTATTTAATTATTATTAGAAATTGTGATATAAGAAAAGGTCGTCAACAATCTTTCAGAGGTCGAATATTAATAAATGAACCGTAGTCATTCATCAAATTGTTCTGCTAATATTATTATGATAGTTTGTCCATGAACCAAAATTTGGCAGCGAGAGAGAGTCAAATTTCCTGCCAAATAACTGTTTGACATTGACCCGAGGGCTTATAGAAGGACAATCAGGCCTCTTCCTCTTTCACTTCTTGGACAAAATCTATAAACAAGTACAAAAATAATCCAACGATGTAGGCTACATAGGCCTACTGTATAATTTCGCTTATGGGAAAAGGCAACCTATCAATTTATACTAACTTAAAATGTATAAATATATAAATATCAGATGTGTCAAATAACGAGAGAATAGTGCAAAAATGAAATACATTTTATTTATGGAAAAAGAGACTTTTGTTGTGGTAACACGTTCAATCATTTCAAATAACTGCAAATGACACATGTAGGGCCTAAACATTTTCCTGCATAAAAGCATAGCCTATCACCTGGACTGACGTTTAAAAACAAGTGTGTGTGTGTGTGTGTGTGTGTGTGTGTGTGTTAACTGTAATCATCTGACATTGCTCTAACCTCGAAGAAGCGCAAATGACGTCACCAGCTTCATCAAAGAGCTTCTCGTTTCTCTAGTTCTTTTCAAGGCCAGAAGGGGGCAACACATCTCTTAAGAGGCATAAATATAACCAATGATTAACATACATTCAGATATAAAATAAATAAATAAATGAAAAATTGCCAAAAGGTAGCCTACGCAAAATTTCTTTTTGGAATTATAAAACTAAAAAAAAAATAACAATTTAGCTCAGATTGTGATTTATTGTTTTGCACCAGGTATTACTGAAACTCATGTTTCAAACAATATTATTTTTGAATCATCAATGAAAATATATATAGCATCATAATAAATACTGACTCTGTAGCTAATCAGTAGGCTACTAGGCTACTAATGAAAATCACTATTATAGGCTAGCTATTAGCCAACATAACATTTTTCTTTTCCCTCCACCCAAAGCAATTCAGCTGTTGATATCAAATAAATGTTTTCCAAATTATCTCTCTCATGCCCTGAATCTGAGACAAAGTCCAGCCTTTTTCCAGGTAAGGGTGACGTCAGACGTACAACAGCGTCTCCTGTTGTTCCCTGCTACAATTTCAAACGCTGCTAGGACCACGAGGAAGTTCCGCCCTCTCTAAAGTCTGATTGGCCAAAACATAATTTATTCAGCTATGGCTCTGTACTATTGGTTTACGCAGTTGTCGGTAAGGAAACGAGTCCAGATAAGCCTGGTGGTGTATCGCGTCAGGTGAAAAATCGCAGTGTGTTGTCAGACGTTAAAAGTAGTTTTTTGCGTAATCAAACTAAACCGTAAAACGTAACTGTTGTTTTATTTTATTCAAATACTAATATACGTGCTACTTTTTATTTATTCAAACAAGGAGAAAACATGAAGAGTTTGAAGTATCGACTGAAAAAGCATGAAGTTACCATCACAGTAAGTTGAGAGTTTGAAACAGATTTGCTTTGGTTTATGTTAATGTATGAAAACTACTGAATCAAAATTGCGTGATTTTTGTTTCTTGGCATAGTTGAATTACTTCATATATCTTCCGGTGTGTTGTATGCACTACTCATAGTTGTTTTGTTCTCAGAGGCTTTACTCAGATCATCTTGCATAAGGCAAATCTTTTGACACCTCATCATGTCACATTCACTAATAGGGAACTTTTTGGTCTAACTTTGGAAAATTTTAATTACACTTGCCTCTCATTGCTGTTGTATTTGAAATTGTTTTACATATTCTGTATGTAGATAAGAGATCATTATTTCTATTAGAATACATTGAGTTTCTGAAAATGACGCAATGTTTTTTTCCCCTCGAACATCTAAAATAACTCAAACACCCTTAAATGCAGATGCATTGAACACTTGAAATCTTTGTCCTCCCTTCTTTTTAATTTCCATGTCAAAGAGCCTGGCACACAGAACCGTGTGGGAAGCAGCATGGGGGTTAGTTTTTGAAGGGGCTTTTTCATGGGTTTTGTTTTGAACTGGCTTTAAAAGGAGGGGATCTCACTGCATGGTGAAAATGATTGAGAGGAACCGATATCATGTTCACTCAGCATTTGATGATCATTGCTCTCTTACTATATGAGCTCTGTTTTGACTTGATGTTTTTTATGACACATGGGAAAGAAGCATTTCCACAGGCTTTCAGAGCCGGACTATTGTCACTGGTTGCCCTCTGATTTAACAGAACACAAAGGACCATGGGAGCACACCCTCTCTTTTTGTGATGTGTGTAGATGGCTGGAGGAGTTCTCTCAGAGTTTCAGCATTCATTCAGTAAATTTGTATGCACACAAATATTTTAGTTATGTTTTGATGTTAGCACCTTCAAAATATCCCCTGTTAATGAATAAGTAATTTATATCTTATCTAAACAAATGCAATTTTGGGTTCTATTAGAAGAAATAGACGAGTGTGAAAAGTCAAGCAGGAATGGAAGAAACATTTATGGAATTATTACTTTTTATCTTTTTTTACACATTTGCAGGAGTCTCAAAATCTACATTTTGCAGTTCATTCATTTTACACTTTATCCCAATTTACCGAATAAATGATAAAAGGCAAGAGAGAGGATTTCTAGTTTTTCTAGAAGTAGAATGTGCAATAATAAACAAATGTTTATTTGGATTATGTATACAGGAATGTTCTAATAGCCGTGGAGCATGTTAACATCTTATTTATTTGGGCAAGGCAAGTTTATTTATATAGCATATTTCATACACAATGGTAATTCAAAGTGCTTTACATAGAATAAATTAAAATAATCAAAACAAATAAGACTAATTAAAACCAGTTTAGAATAAAAAAAATAATATAAAGTTCAGTAAAAACAGATGGGCGAAGAGTGTCACAGTGCTCATTTAGTAAATGCACATCTAAACAGTCTGGATTTAAATGTGACTACAGTTAAGAGCACATCTGATCTCCTCTGGATGCTGGTTCCAGCTGCGGCTGGCATAATAGCTAAAATCAGTGCTTAGAGTAAACCATTGGTATTTCTATCTGATGTGATCCTAATGATCTGAGTGATCTGTTGGGTTTATATTCAGTGAGCATATCTGCAATATATTGAGGTCCTCCTAACCCATTGAATGATTTATATACCATAAAAACAGGAAAGAGGCTGCACTATGCATAAATTGTTTTATTTGCAGTATGCACTAAAATGATTTATATATTTATATACTGTAAAATACTTCAAACATCAATATGAGTTGTTTGTAGTTGTACTCTTTACAACATCCTGGAATTATATACTGTAGTTCACACAAATGTTGTCACCATATGTTGTTCCACACCCGTATGAACCTGTGAGGGTCCTGTGAAATTTATTTTTATTTGTCAAATTCTGTGTTTTCCGTTTTGAATTTTCCGCCCTTTTCACATTTCTGGGTTTCTCAGAAGTGGAATTTGTCATAGTTTGGTGAACGTCTATAGCGGTGAATGAGAGAATACGTTAAATATATTTTTTTGTTACCATTTGCTCAAAATGGCAAAAGAAAATCTCTACAATAGTGTTTTCAAAACTTTCAAAAAAGAGGAAAAAATAGAGAGATTGATAACAGCAGTCAGAAGAGAGAAATGTCAATCTTACCATTACTTTTACAGCTGCTGTATCAGAAACACCCTCACAGTAGTGTTAACTATTTTTTATCGTTTGATGCAACGGTAATACAAAGTATAGTGATTATAAATGTACATACATTTTTTTTTATAAATAGAAATTAGCCTATTAAAAACATTACATGATTTACAATGCTGAGCATTAAAATGCGTAATCACAGTCTGTGAAAAGGGTCCATAGTTTAATGTGTTTAAAATTAATAATCAAAAATAGTTTTGTCTAAGGAAATTATGAAATGTTCATGAAGTGAACTCTATAGTATATAGTGAGACCCCAGATGCTGAGTGTAAACTGTGCTGCTCATTCACACAAAGACACGCAGAACATCCAGACATACATTCACGTACACTAGTCCAGGTCCATCTCAGTTGTGATTATTATTAATCATAAATTCAATTTTTATTATGACTGGATTCTGTGGTTTTTGTCCACATGGAAGAACATTACCAATTCAGCCAAGAAATATCTCATTTTGTGTTCCTTGGAAGAAATAGTCAAACGATTTTGGAACAACATGAGGGGTAGTAAGCGATGACACAAATTTCAATATGGGGTGAACTAACCCTGGAGAAGATGTTTAGTCACTGAAGCGCACTGCTATGTTTACATTCAACTCAACTCTGTCTTATAAAGTAGTATCATAGTGTTTCACATAGTGGTGTTTCTGGCACTGTGAAGCCCTTGAAGCATGCCTGAGGCCTGAATGAAATTTTTGCACAATGTCCCACTGCATCTCAGTTTCTGTTTTCTTTTTTCAATTATGTGAACAAACTACCAAAAGCCATCAAGCCTGAGAGATCAATTACTGAAAACTCTCTGCCTTCATTTTGTTTTTAGTTGATTGCAAATTCCACAGTTTGATAACATATCTTAAAAAAATATCTTCGTAGTGTTTCTTTGTTGAATCATTGAAGCTGTTTGCATTACAAATAGGCATTTTAAGGGCCTCTTTGTTCTCCAGCTGTTAAGGGTGAAATCAGGACAACTGTACACTGCTTAAAGGGACAGTTCACATGAAAATGAAAATTGTCATCCTTTACTCTCCCTCATGACATTCCAAACCTGTATAACTTTTATCTCTTCTGTGGAACACAAAATAATATATTTTGAGGAATGTCTCTCACTAGCAGTCTTTTCGTGGTTCTCTTGCACAAGTCCATATCGCAATTGACCTATGACTAAGCCACGCCCCCAAACCCAATGAGCCAATCACAGTGTGCATAGCTAACCCAATACACCCGGACATTCTCTGCTTTTCTTTTGTTTTTATGTTTTTTTTTCTTGTCAGTTTAAGTTTAAAATGGTCAAGCGGTGTGCATGGGGTACATGCAACTCTACACATGTATCACAACTCAACACTATGTATCCCGAGAGGCTGGGCGACGGTGTGTTTTTTTTTTTTTTTTTTTTTTTTTTTTACTCTTTCAAACGGAACAATCCAAGCGCGTAGAAAATTTAACTGAGACAATTTTCCGTTTGTAAATTATTCCCAAAAAATGGAAAATGAAAGTTTGAAACCAATTTTTCACTTGGTTAATTTTGATGGTGCAAAGTGTTAACATGGACCTGTACTGTCCCCGATTGACAATTAGTTGATCATCCAATCATACTGAATTGAATTAAACTAATTGCAACTTCTGAATTGAGTCAAAATTTGTGATGCCCAGTCACTTCACAATGTGGAATCTGATTTCATGATTTGATCATAATTTCCTAACTTGTCGTTTGAATTCAATTGGGATTTTGCATTACACGATTTTAATCCACGACGCAGAGGCAAATTATTCATGCAGTGAATAGCAAAGGTATTTCATTAATAAAAGTTGGGGGGTTGACCGGTTTCTGTGTATGAATGTGTATGTGTGCTTCAAAGAAGACAACACATTAAAGAACAGTCTTTAAACTGACTGAAACGTGTCCGTGAAAAAATTAGACTACACACCTTACAGAATCAAGTATTTAGTCAGACTATGGTATAAAAAGTTTTAGTTTTCATCATCAGTAAAACGTTTTGAATAGAATCAATCATCCAGTCCACCAGGAATATCGTGCAGTATTTATTTATTTATTTTCCGAATTGATCGGTGGAAGTTCAGGAGTGTATAAACATAGTGTATCATAGTGTTTGTGCCCGTCTGTCTGAAAGCTTTGCTGTGTCCGTGTCTCTAGTGCCCACTGAGCCTCTCTGAAAGCTTTCCTGTGTTAAGCTCGGGCCCCCAATGTAGTGGGAAACTGACAGTGAGTATTGAAGGTTAACCTAGGATGAATAAATGGCTGGGGATTACAGGGAGTGGGAATTTGTTGTAGTTGAAAGCCCCCAGGCTTTCTATGTACAGCTCAAAAGACAGGAGCCCGGAACCCAGTCATCAGAACATGGCAGAGTGGATGTCATGTTACTGCAGTAAAATGAGTTGCAGTCCGGTTCTCTCTTCAATCCTCAAAGAGAATTCATTTGAGCTTTGATGTTGAACTGAAGTATTAATTATATTGACAGTGGGGGTAAATGTAAGTCCAAAACAAGGTTTTAGCTTTTCCAAAGTGGAAAAGAAAACTACCTAAGCTGGTTCAGTTTCAAGTATGTGTACCGCGCACAATATCAGATTATTATGATCCTCCTGTTTGATAAGAAATATGCATCAAAGTAATATTTAAACCTGATGGTCAATGCATTATAAATTATGTAAAAACGCACAGATTCAATGTGGTTTGAAAGCCACCTGAGCTCTGTTCTGAACATGGGCAATTGGTGCCTCGTTTGATCTGATTTCATTAATTCAGGAAGGCTGACTAAAGGAGAAAGA